AGTCTTGCTCAGGGCCTCCAATCACCCAGGACCGGCCCTCTATATATATATATATATATATATATATATATATATATATATATATGTGTGTGTGTGTATCTTTTTAAAGTAAAGAGAATTAAGAACATAGAATAACTTGTTAATGTTATCATTCTGCTTTTTCAAAAGGGCTTCTAAAGCAACAATGCTACAAAAATGTTGAACTGAGTGAATTTACAATTGTAGCCCTTGTTCTTTTATAGTTATATATTTAACCTTTACTTTCACATTATACAGTTTTGTATTAACTATTAAGTGAAAGAAAACATGAGTACGGAGATAAGAAGAGAGTTAAAAAATCCACCAAAGAGTTTGGAGGATGATTTGTACAATCTCACCATGAAAGGGAAATGGCGAGAAGTTGTCGATATTTACGAGAAACACCCCATCGCCCACGAAACCAGGCTCACTAAATCCGAAGACACGGCGTTGCATATAGCCATCTCCACTTATAATAGCCGCTCCAAAAATTCCAACCACGAAAAGCTCGTGGAGAAAATGATATCCCACATCAGCTCGTCTTTCGAGATATTGTCGATCAAGAACGTGAGAGGAGAGACGCCTCTCCATCTTGCTGCCGCGGTTGGATGGGTAAACATTTGCAAAGTTATAGCCTCGAAGAATTGGGAACTCGTTCGAATTCGCAATGTGAATGGGGAGACTCCGTTTTTTCCTGCGGTCCATTGCGGAAACTCACGATCTTTTCTTTGTCTACGCGAGATATACAATAAAGGTACGAAAGGTAACGAGCCCGATGAGAATTTTTGGAGGAGGAATAAAGATGGAAACACGATTTTGCACTCGGCTATCTCCGGAGAGTACTTTAGTAAGAAAATTCGTTTTCGCATAGTTTGGATTAATGTATATATATATTGTGTTTATTGCTTACTTCAGCACTCATGTGTTTACTCTAATTGTTAAAAAAATTTCCTCATTTATACCCATAAAACCCCACTTTTGAGGGGGTTGTGTGCAAAATAAATGCATTATAAGGGTTTTTTTTGCTAATATTAATAACATGGGGACTTTATTTTAGCAATTCAATATAGTATAGCGATATTAAATGCAAAACCTTTTTCTTTTTTACACATTTCCTTTGATTATGACACATTTTTGTCACAATTTTCAAAAGTGTTTTTTTTCTTCTTCTTGCAGGGCTAGCCTACAAAATAATCGGATATTATCCGAAGCTGGTGAATTCCGTAAACATCGTTGGAGAATCGCCACTTCATGTTTTAGCTCGAAAGCCTAATGTATTCCTAAGCAGCAAACATATGGGATTCTACGACTCGATTATATACCGATGTAAGATATTTTTTTCATTTGCATAGGGGCAAATATATACGAAAATTAATTAATTCTTTAGTTGGCTGACAATACTAATACTGCTTGAAAAATAACAAATCTCTATATTAATAAACAGTACGTCTTTTAAGTAGTAGTGGGGGGCCATGGCCCCGTACTATACCATTTTTTTGTTTTTCTTTTCAAAATTCATAATTACTACGAGCCACGACTAATTAATTAGATCATGTTATGATTTTGTTTACGGAATTAGGTGTATTTGTCGATGAGCTGAAGAAGCAGAATGTGACATATAATAATATAGCAGAAGCCAGCCAAACTAATCATTCGATCGGTCGCAAAATTAACTTGCCGGAAAACTACACGACATGTCTGAACTTCTTTCGTCTCGGGACTCTTCTTCTTACAGGTTAACTATTCAATATTAGGCTTGAACTTATGTCCTGTTTCTCAATAAAATAACCAAAATTTCCGGAAAAATAAAAAATATATGTAAGAGTATTTACCTCATTATTTAATATCCTGCAGGCTCTTCATTCTGGAACAAACAAAAAAACAAATCACCCGACGAAGAAAATCAACGTAGTCGAGAAAATGAAGCCGATAGTATGATTGATACTGTTAAAAGCTTTAATTCTACATTTTAATCTTAATTCAAAAAATATATATACATATCCTTATATATAACATGTGTACTTAAGGACTTGAGATTTGCGGGACATTATATTTTGCAGCAAAAGACGACGAGAGAAAGGGCAAAGACGACGGTTTCTTCCCTCCCAATTACACTACTTGTAACTTGCTTTTCAGATTTGCAATGAAGGTCATCTTCATTTTTCTAGGAGTTGGTAAGTGTACAATTTTCTTTAGTAATTAAAAAACGTTCGAAAAAAAATTAAAAAATTCGCCAAGTGTACCTATATCAACATTAGACGTAAAAAAGGGAAAAAAAAATACTAGATATAGATTAATAACCTCGCTTGAATAATAGTTTTGTCTGGTCCCGAATCAGTGGCAATATGTTACAATATTAATTCGATAATTTAATATATATATATATATATATATATATATATATATATATATATATATATATATATATATATATATATATATATACATGAAGGAATTTGGAGGATAAAGAATGTTAGAGAAAGAAAAAAATTGTACTCCCATGCATCGGATGTTATGAAGGAAATGATCGAGCTGGAATCGAGATACAAGTATGAGAGTACAGGTCAGCGCCCTAACCGAAAGGTGGAGATGGAACAATTTCCGGAAACCAAGCTTCCGGATTTTGCACCCGATGTATCTAACAATGAGAACGAAAAATCAGGTAATTAAGTATGTACACCTTGTTTTTATCTTGATAAATACAGAACTGATATCTATATAAGATATTAGGATGTATATGCATGCATGAAATTTTTCAAATTCAGATTACAAATTTTTCCATCATATAATACATACATTTTCATTAGCCCACCAATTTTTATTATTTAGCCCACCAAAAACTCAAATTAATGCAAAACAAATTCTAAAAAAAAAAAAAAAAAAATTCTTTTTTCTTTTATTTCCTATTTTCTGATTATGTCCTAATATTTTTTCGGGGGCACTGCCTCCAAACTTCTGAACAGTTAAGCCCACCATGTAGCAAATTCCTGGACACTATTTGTAGACTTTATACAATATTTTGTATTTACTAATATAATGTAAACTAATTCATTTTTTGTTGATAGTATATTGATCAATTGGCGACCTAATCGCCTAACCGTAGCGATAAAAAATAATCGATGTATACATACAAGAATATGTACCACTGCGACGTTCTTTAATACTATTGGTTGAATTTTATTTGATGCAGAGAAGAAGAAAACGGCGAATATCACACAAGTTAAGGACACTCCAATATTAGTGGCAGCGAAAATAGGAATTCTTGAAATAGTCGAGAGAATAATTAGCAAATGCCCGGTAGCAATTCAGGACCTGGACTCGAAAGGGAAGAACATATTGATGCTTGCAGCAGAAAACAGGCAAACGAGTGTTTTCGAATATTTGCTGAAGTCGAGAAAAATCCCGACGTACATGTTTCATCATTTGGATAATGAAGGAAACAACATACTTCACCATGCAGCTATGCTTGGTGAACAGCTCCAGCCATGGCGGATTCCTGGTGCTGCTCTCCAAATGCAATGGGAGATCAAATGGTACAAGGTAATTCAAATATATATACAATTTGGTCTTTCAATTACTACTTTTTTTTCCTAAATTATGAAACAATTAATGGATCCAAATCGTATGTCCGAGAAAATGGACTTCATATGGTCGACTTATTTTATGATCGTCAACATCGTCATTTTTTTTCTATTCAATTGTTTTTTTCTTCGGGGTGCAAAATGCAAATGTATTTTCGAGCAACAATGACAATGTTGACGATCAGAAAATAGGTGAACGATGAAAATTCAAACCGGAAAATAAAGAAGGATGCAATTTGAACGATTAAACATGTGTTTTGAGGATGTAAAGTGCCATAAATTATTTCCAGTGATGCAAAGTGCTAAAATTGTATATTTCGAGTGTGCAAGGTGAAATTAAGCCGGGAAATTAATAACTCGTTTTTTTTATGGGTTTATTGCATCCAGGACCCCCTGTGTTTTCTCTGATTGTTAAAAAAGAACCCCATATGTTATTTTATTAGCAAAAATCCCCTGTATTTATTTTTTTAGTACTTAATGCAAAAATGTAACCGCAGTACGTGAAGAGCAAAGCCCAACCGCAGTGTGTGGCGCAGCAAAACGCAAAGGGGGAGACGCCGAAGAGGATCTTCACACGTACACACGAAAACCTAATGAAGGCCGGCATCAACTGGCTGATCAAAACCTCCGAGTCGTGCTCCGTCGTGGCGGCCCTAATCGCCGCTGTCGCCTTCGCCACGTCATCCACCGTCCCGGGCGGCCTGGACGAGGAATCCGGCTACCCCGTCTTAAGGGACAGTCCCTCGTTCGGGATCTTCTCCGTCGCCTCGCTGGCGGCGCTTTGCCTGTCGGTGACGGCGCTCGTCTTCTTCCTTGCGATAATCACATCCCGCTGCCAGGAGCGGGATTTCGGGATAAGCCTGCCGAGAAAGCTGCTGGTGGGGCTCACTTCCCTCTTCGCCTCGATCGCGTCGATTCTGCTGTCGTTCTGCGCGGGCCATAAGTTTATACTCAAGGACAGCCTGAGGTTCGCGGCGGTGCCGATATACGCGGTGGCTAGCGTGCCGGTGGCGCTTTTCGCACTGGCTCAGCTGCCGTTGTACTTTGATCTGCTTCGCGCCGCCTGCCGGAAAGTGCCGCTGCGGAGTTACAAGGTGTTTTAGCGGAGCTGCGCAATGGGGATAATAAAATGATCTTCTCGATGGTATAGTTTAAATTTTTTATTGACCTTGTATTGTGAAATAATTGTTTCATCTCTGTCCGACTGAATGTACTCTTTGTGTGCGAGAGTGTGTGTAAATTAAACGATAGATATTCATGTGTGAGAATTGAGATGTACATGCTACTTGGTTTTTGTACTAAATTTGGATAAAAAGTATTCCTAAATTTATTCTTTCCCATTATACAAAATCCCTTGTACAATCATCTTCCGAAAATGCCCCTTACAAAATTATTTATATATAAAGATAGAGGGTTTGAGAATGTAAAACATACGTGCACAACAATCTACTACTCCCAATAATTATTAAGCCATACGCACGTGGTCGTCAAATAAAGGTAAAACATACTTTCATTAATTAGGATACATGCTACAAAGGAAGCTTATTTTATTGAAATACAATATCAGAACTCAGAAGGGAAAAAAAAAACACAAATTATAAATATGCATGCATGCAGAAGCCGGCAGATCCATCGATCATGGAATTTATTAATGCATGGCTCACTGCTTATTGGATATATATATATATATATATATATATATATATATATATATATATATATATATATATATATATATATATATAGTTCATAAATTTATGTGGTTGGTGCTGTAGTAAGGAGGGTTTCTAGTACTCGATGATACTCGTGTTCGAAAAAAGGCATATCGGATTCGTGCAAATAAACCCATGCTTCAATTCCATCGTTGCTTTTGGTGTTCATCAATATGAACATGTCTTTAAGAGGAACATCAGCCAAGCTCACCCACACCGGTTTCCCGAACCCAAAGTCGAGCTCGTACTCACCGAATTTCGACCAATCCGTAATCCATATCACCTTATAGTTAGGGTTTGATGCTTTCTTAGCTGCTTCAAAGTAGCTATCCACCAAAACCCATCTCCCAAACTCTCTCTCCGATAATATTCTCGGACAGTCTTTAACACCTTGTATGGTGGTCTCGCGCATTTTACGAACGAGGCCTGGAAAATCGCCGTTTTCTAACAGGTTAAGGCGGGCCTCTTCCGCACTATATTCCAGGTAGGATAACGAAACCCATGTGCCCCATGCATGCTTCGACACCGGCGGTACGGTCCTTTCGCGGACGTTGATTGCCTGTGCAATTAGGGCGGCGCTTGGAACGCCGCCCTTTTTGGCCATGTCTGCACGCAGGAGAGCCTGCGTCAGGACGGCGGACACCACCACCACCCTGGAGGGCGGCCGGCCGCCCTCCAGTGTGGTGGAGGCGGCCGCGGTATATATATCCCTAAGTACGGAAATGGCTTCCTTGTCGAACATAAACCTCTCGCAGATAACGCTGGTGTCCCGCGTCCTGGAAACACCAAAATGCAACGGAGGCAGGTTTTCAGACGGGAAGAACTCGTGCGAGTTGAAATCAGGTTTGATGACATCACCGCTGCCGCCCGTAGCAGCATCTTTCCAGGCCGCCAGGAATATTCCTAGACAGGCGGAGTCGGAGATCCTGTGGGAAACACAGACGCCAATGGCCACCCCTCCACAGCGGAACCTGTTGATTCGAACCGCCAGGATTGGGTCGGTGGGCTCGTCGGCGGCGCATATATCGATTGGGAGGAGGTGGTTGAGGTGCTCGGCACCACCACCAGCACCGGTAACGGCAAGAAGGTCGCAGTCGACCGTTGCTTCGGAGAACTCAACGCCTTGGTCGTTGCAATCAACCAAATGGTTCTCCTTGATGTATCTACCGGCGAGTGGGTAGAAAAACGGCAGTATTCGAGCAAGTGATTCTTCCAAGTTGATGATTATAGGCCGCAGTTTTTCTCCGGCGACCGACGGATAGAAGAGGATTCGTACGACATGCATAGATGGGTTGAGCTCATCGATTAGTGATATTTTGTAGCTGCGGAGGTGTGATGGTGTCGCCGTCAACGGTTTTATCAGCTTTCGCCTCTCCACCTCCACCTTCATCATCTTCATCATCTTTCTTTTCTTTCTAGAGAGAGAGAGAGTGTATATTATGACAGAGAGGTGATCGATATATATTTAGATGCCTGATTGATCATATATATATACACATACAAATATTTACATATAGGGAGGGACCTTCTATCGTGAGTAATAATTAACACCGTTAACGATACAAGGATTCATTCTTCTATTTGTTACGTAAAATTCTCTTGCATGTGATTCACTGTACGCGAAATCCCATTTTTCATTAATAATTGACGTCGGTAACTATACAGGGATTTCAACCATAAATCTCATATACACACACTCATGTGTATGTGCGCGTGCTTATAAGTGGGTGCTTATTTAATCAAATCTACGATTAAAATCCACTCAGTAAAAATAAACAGGTGTATAGCATCTAAATCCACCTATAGAACAAGTATTCTATGCATGGTATTCGTAAATAGGGGCTTTGGTGCATGCTTTTTTGGACATTAAAGAGATTAAAGGAACTATAATTTATTCATAAAAAAGATTAAGTTTTTTCTTTTTTTTTTATTTAATTTAGGCGAATACATTATTAATTTACAATATGAAAAATAATAAATGCCCTAACAGACAAGCAATCTACCTTGCCTTACCGAATCTATACCAAAATTTCAATAATAATCCTATCAAAAAAAGAAAATTCGATAATAACCATTAATTACCATATAGTATCGTACCGAATATTTGATAATGCATTGGTATTAAATTTCTTGTAATTTTTGTAATAAAATCAGTAGAAGAGTTATGGGCAAACCTATCTACAAGATTCTTGACATAAATATACAATCTGGATATATATTATAAAATATCTATCCAAAAAAACTAAATTTTAAGATACTAATGAATCCATGACAGTTGGGGAGTCCTATACTCCTACATCTATAAAAAAGATTATATGTTTAAAATATCCATAAAATTGTGCAAAAATAATTAAATATTTATAAATTTTATTTAAAATATTATAAATTTTAATCATATTGTAATGATAAATGTAAATAAAATATATAAATTTAGTTAAAAGTTGGAGTTTTCTCAAAAAGAAAAAAGTTAAGAGTTAGAGTAGGGACAAAAGAAAAAAAAAATGAAGAGGCAAAACCTATATTTATAAAAAATTGGGGGGCCAAAGCCTATATTTACAAAATATTAATTAAAAATACCTAATTATTTTTCTTTACTTTTTTCAAAATCTTGGCAGCCCCTCATTTAGATCCGCCCAATATGTGGATGGGCAATTAACAGTCTTGAATCTTGATTCATAATAACAGCCTATTTTTGGAAAAATAAAGTAAAAAAGAGAAATATTTGAGTTGGAATATAATTAATTCCACGTCACACCAAATTTCGTTCTTTGAGATGCTATACCTGGTGAAATATACTGGGTAATTGTTAACCGTTTATGTGGTGAAATAACTTTCCAGTTCCCACGCTAAGCACACATACACCATGGGTGTGTGTGTGTGAGATTGTGTGGAGATCAACGGCTAATAATCACCCGATGTATTTCACCGAATAATTACCCAATGTATTTGTGTTTAGTGCGAACTGGGAAGTTATTTCACCATGTGTATGCATGCTTAGTGGCAACTGGAAAGTTATTTCACCACATCAACGGTTAATAATCCCAAGTTCGTGGTCCACCTAGCTAGCTAATCCCATTCATTCACCAAACTTGCCAAGAAACTCGTTCCCCACACAGTAGCACCGTCACTGTCATTTAATGTGCAGCAAAATTTAATACAAGATTCTTGACATAAATATACAATCTTGATATGTATTATAAAATATCTATCAAATAAACTAATTTTGAGAGATTAACTAGGATTAATTAATCCATCCAAAAGTATGGCAGTCCTAATCAAATCCCTCTAACAGTTGGGCAGTCCTTTCTATCTATGACAATTGGAATTAATATGCAATAAAGAAGCTAAAACAAAACTCATGCCCTAATTAATTAGTTCAACCTACAAACGTATAGTTTAGTTGTTATCACAATTCACAGACTATTGAAAATCATTATCGGTCCGACCGTTGTGGGTCGGATTATGGCTGACAACCGACTTTTGTCGGGTAAACAATGGATGGGTTGATTTGCATTATCGGTCATCTAATTATGGATTTTTCTTAAAAAAAATTATAATAATAATATGTTATTTATCAACTTTTTAAAATTTTATTTAAAATTTTATAAATTTAACCATAATATTATAAATTGTAAATGATAAATGTGAGAAAAAGATATAAATTTATAAAGAGTAGGGACAAAAATAAAAATAAAAATGAAGAGGAAAAACCTACATTTATAAAAAATTGGCGGGCCAAAACCTATATTTACAAAATATTAATTAAAAAGGAGTTTTGGTGCATTAGTCCCTAACCAACCATCTTATTATTTTAGGTTTAGGGGCTATATCTCTTTCGCCAATAAACTCATCCATTTAATATTTAGGTGGTGTTTGCAAAAGCTTTTTGAAAGTGATTATGAGCTTTTTTTTCTCATAATCTTTTTTCACGTGTTTGCAAAATCAACTTTTGTTTTTGCTTATCTTAAAATAATCTGCTTTAAGCTATTTTTTTAAAACACCCATAACCCTGCTTTTTCTATTTAAGTTCATTTTCCGGAATATTTGCAAACACCCCCAACTTTTAGAAATAAGTACTTAGGTGGTGTTTGCAAATGATTATTTAAAAGCAGAAGTTAGTGATTGTGATTTAAGTTAGTTTTAAGTGCTTATTTCTAAAAGTTGGGAGTGTTGCAAAATTTCGGAAAATGAACTAAAATGACAAAGCAGGGTTATGGGTGCTTTTAAAAAACTAGCTAAAAGCGTATTATTTTAAGAGAAGCAAAAACAAAAGCGGCAGTGCGTGTACTTTAGACACAACCCGTGTGACTAACTTAAAAGCGCATAATCACTTTCAAAAAGCATTTGCAAACACCACCTTAAAACCGACTTAACTCACAATCACTAACTTCTGCTTTTAAATAATCATTTGCAAACACCACCTTCTTATAAATAAAGGAAAAATTCATGTAAATGACAAAATTACCCCAACCTTTTACACCCAATTCTTAATTGTAACCCCAATTTAATCAATTTTGACCACAAAAATCCAATTTTGACTTTTATTTTTTTTAAACTTTTTTGTTTTCAAAAATATTTTTTTTGTCGTCGGTTTCCGGCGTTG